CAATTCCTCTAATCGCTCTGACGAAGGGCTAACGCTCGAAACGTCAGCCTTTTTTACCCTTATGGTGGCTAATTTACGTTTTCAACCCAGTTGTTAACACTAAATTACCTGCTATACTCTCCCACCGACGCAGCACCACAGTTTCTTTAGAAACTTACCCCTTTATTCAATAAAATTTGTCTTTGGACTTACATTTATGTCTCACTCGTGTTTTGTAGGATCATTTGTTGAAGACGTCACCATGACTAAAAGGGTGTATGAAGATGATAATATTTCGGACGAAATATTGAATTCTGTGTTCGATGAATTAGGAGAAGAAGAGCAACATGGTGGGAGTCTTTTTGAGTCTGAATTCTAAAAAAGTAGGTTCCCCCAACATTGGAAAAATACCGTGCATAATCAGAGATATCAATCGATGTTACATCAAAAGCGAAATCCTACACGTGGAGATAATTTAGGTAGAGAAATCACAGACGCGCTTACCAGGTGAGAAGATACATTGATATTTTAGGTAGTGTGACACCCCTCTCCTTTATTTAGAAGTCTTTTTTATTTGTTTTTTAGACCGATACGTGACACGCTTACCCAAAATAAGGTGCCACTACATTATCGCATGATGTTTAATCTCCAATCGGATCATTTTACACATCCCTTTAATTCGGTTCACTTTGATGTTGATGAAATCATGAATCCTTTGCTGTGCACGAGCTATCTGTGTCACGAAACCTGGCTGCACAAAGATGAAAATAGAGACACCAAACAACATAACGAAAATGTGAGACTTCACGAATCCTATCAAGCACGAATGGCGCGTCAACTTCACCAAGAGGCCAGTGTCCCTCTAGGCCCATGTGGACACGATGCTTTGAATTCTTTTCAAACGTTACTCGCCCCAATTGAAAGTCATGTCGACATTATACCCGTACATGGTGACCTATCATCACTTCGATTTAATTCACTAACGTTTGACACTAGAATGAAAGCCTTGTTAAACGTTCTATGAAAAGAAGTCGACCACCTCAGTCTTTTCAAAATAAAAACTGTACGTTCTTTATAATCAAACGCTGCATATCAATGTGAATTAAGTTTAATGTTTATTCATTAATAACATGTCAATCATACCAATTAGCTACACGCGGGTAAACAAAAGATAAAATTAACAATGTAATTAAATCCTCCAGCAAAATAACAAACAGCTAAATAAAGAATACATGGATAAAGCAAACAACGCGTAAGATGGAGAGGGGTTAAACTTCCTGTCCATGACAAACGTCTATGCTGTGGGATATGAAGTGAGAACCATTCCCGCATTTTGGAAATTGATGGTCTTTATCGTGAGCGGCTGACTGTCTATGTTACACGTGCAGTCACCAGGCTCTCCAAAGAAACATGCAGTGTACAGAGCCATCTCAAATGCTGGGCTGGTTCCGA